AGCTTTAAATAAAGGAAAAGCGGGTGGTTGTGAACTATCGAAAAAGGGGATTAAAAAGTCAAGTGTCATGTCACTCTTCACACCTGCTCAGAAAAACCGGAGTTGCAAAAAAGAACGTCACACTTTACTTTACAAAGGGGGTGGGGAAGTTCACCTTTACGATTTAGAGCGAGCGGAAATAAATTTTAAAAAAATTTAAAAAAAAAGGAAAACAGTAATTTAGAATTAAATTACAAACTGAAATACATTGACACTACAAAGGGTTACTGCATTAGGTGGTGGTTGAACTGAGGTTGAAGCGAAATTGTGTGGCTGAGGAACAAATGATATCGGATAAGCTAAGGCACTATGTGGATAGCTGGGGACTTGAGACAACTGCTGTGTTGACACTTGCGCTTGGTTATTGTAAAACACTGTCCCTCCAACAGTGCACGGGTATTGTGAAAGTGGTGGTTGCACTATTGGTGTGACAGTTTGAACGGTATTTAACGCCTGGGGTACTGTAGAATCTGGTGCGGTAAATGGCGCGGTGGTTGGAGGTGCCATTCTCCAGGTATTCATATTGGGTATATAACGAACTGGATTTGGATGGTTGAAGGATGGTTGATTTGTTGAAACACGAGTTGAGTTATTAATACTCGCTGGTGGAGCAGTAATAGGAATCAGGTTCACCGGCTGGGTTGCCGTATTGACTGTTGTATTAATTGGGACAGAAGCATGTAATGTGGGGACTATTGCTGCTGGCATACGTGGAATGAAAGGAAGCAGGGGGGAACGGTGCGGGGGTGGTGGCGGCGGCGGTGGGAGAGGTTGAGAAGGAATCTTCAAATTATGAACGGTAGATGATACCACCGATTGTAATGGTAGGCAAACGCTTGGGTTGCTACTGGATGGAAAAAGGTGGACGTTTATTAGATCAACCGTACTTGGTGGTAGAGACGAAGAAACCAAATTGGCGATGCCCGGAGGTTGAGGTTCTTGTCGGGGAACAATGGTTATAGTTGATGCAAGTTCCGACGAATGTGTATCGAGTGCTTCATCTACCCAATCTTTTGTTCGGGTTTCAGATACAACTTGTTATGTTCTACTCGAAGGCAGAGCGGTTTTATTGATGTCAGTATCAGTGTCCGAATCATCATCCATTAACTCTGTTTCAACTATTTTGGCCTCATTGAGCTTTCGTTTGTTCTCCTCAACAAGTGTCTCAAGAGCCAATTCGTTTTCTTTTTCTTTTAGGCGGATACCTGTTTTATTTCGTCGCTCGATTTCAAGACGTCGCAATTTTGTTTTTTCGAGTTCGCGTTTGCGCTGACTGGAAGTCATTGAAGACGCTCTAGAGTGCAGGGAACTATATCGGGTGGACCGGCTGACAGTTGAAGCAGCTCGCGATGCTTGCGGGTAAGCATCTCCAGTCTCTGGAAACAAAGTTTTCGCCATTTCCAAGTGCTTAATTGACAATTCCAGCATTTCATCTCGAGCGCAAGTAATGCTGATTAACCAAGTGTCAAGATCAGCGAGAGCACTGCTAGGTTCTAGCGTTTTTTGAGCAAGAATGCGAAGGTCGTCGTTTTTCCTTATTGCGTTTTCTATTGCTATTTGGCACTGCTGGATAGACTTTTCAACTTTGACTGTCCTTACATTTGCAAAGAGTGAGCCCGTCAAAACACCTAGACAGCTTCTGAGCTTGCTTATCTGTCATGACTTAGCTTTAAATAAAGGAAAAGCGGGCGGTTGTGAACTATCGAAAAAGGGGATTAAAAAGTCAAGTGTGATGTCACTTTTCACACCTGCTCAGAAAAACCGGAGTTGCAAAAAAGAACGTCACACTTTACTTTACAAAGGGGGTGGGGAAGTTCACCTTTACGATTTAGAGCGAGCGGAAATAAATTTTAAAAAAATTTTAAAAAAAAGGAAAACAGTAATTTTAGAATTAAATTACAAACTGAAATACATTGACACTACAAAGAATATCAAAGGTTCTTTGCTGCAGATTCGACAGCTAGGCGACGGTTGCGTTCGGCACGACGCTTTTTTTGAGAGGGTCGCTTTTTTTGTTCTTTATTTTTCTTAAGTTTGCCGTATTACTTCGGACTATCGAGAAAGACTGTAGTTCAAGGTCAGTTTCTTGGTGAATTTGGAAGTACTGACGGAGTAAGCGATTGTCTTTCTGCTTACGCTTAGAGATTATGTCGCAAGTCACGCTTAAAATTAAAATGCCCGTTGAACAAAGCAAATCGTAAATATTAGGAGTTTCGACTCGTTGACAATATACAATTGCAGCAATATTACTTTTGTAATAAAGCAGAATGTTGCGCAGTTCGAATTTCGTGAGTGCTGTATCGTTGTTCCTATTGTGCTT